CTGCTGCTGCTACAGCCACGCTACAGCCACTTAACCAGCCGTCCCAACACTCATCTGCAGCAGCTGCAGTCTCAACCACGCTACAGCCGCTTAACCAGCCGTTTCAGAACTCGACTGCAGCAGCAGTTTCTGCTACAGCCGAGCTACAGCAACCTCCGTCCCGCCTTGCCAGTGGCCGGCAGTTATCTCTGGATTTGGGCCGGAGCGGCAAGTGGGGTGCGGAGGAGTGGAAAGGGGTGCTGGAGGTTTGTGCAGGGATGGGGCCTGAGAGCGGGTTGGCTGGAAATGGAGATGGCAGCATTTCTCTGGGCGTGGGTTTGCTTGGGCTTGATAGTCTGGGGCTGACTGGTGGAGGGAAAGGTGGGGAGAAAGGTGGAGGGGAGGGTGGAGAGGAGGGTGGAGAGAAGGGTGGTGGGAAGGTTGGAGAGAAAGGGATGCTTGCTGCTGGTGCTGCTAGTGCTGCTGCTTCTGTTGCTGGTGCCTTTTCTGCTGCTGCTGCCAATGCTGCTGCTGCTGCTGTTGGTGGCGGTGGTGATGGCTCTGCTGCTGCTGCTGCTGCTGCTGCTAGAAACGCAGGGGCATATTTCGAGTCCCCTCCTTCATCAGACTACGAATCTTCTTCCTCTGATGCGTCCCTGTTTTTACGCACTCGCTCCCACACCCGCTCCCAAGCTCTCTCCCACACTCTCTCCCACACCCGCTCTCACAATCGCCCCCCCTCACTGGCCCAGACTCTCCCTCACCTTCCCTCCCATACCCGTGCTCACACCCACTCCCAATCCCACATTCACTCTCACTCCCACGCTCACTCCCATTCCCACACTCACTCTCACTCCTACACCCACGATCACGATCAAAGACACTCTCACTCCCACACTCCCTCCCACACACGCACTCAAGCTCATTCCATTCCTGCACACCTGTCACCACCCGCTCTAGCCCCGGCCATTGGCTTAGACCAGCAACCTCCCAGTCAACCCAGTCAACCCAGTCAAGCCAGTCAACCTAGTCAACCCAGTCAAGCGAGTCAAGCCGGGTCAACAGGAGGAAGACGACCTATAGGGGGCCGGCATGCCCGCTCGTTTTCAGGCACTCTTGCTTACAGCCCTCGCTACAGCCCTCATTATACCCCTGTCACTCACCTGTCCCCACCATCCCGTACCCCTGCTGGCCCCCCCCCTGCCGCCCCTACTGCTGTTCCGCCTCCTCTTCCCGCCGTCCCTGCTGCTGCTTCTCTCATCCCATCCGGATCCACAGGGGTAAGACGACCTATAGGGGGCCGGCATGCCCGCTCGTTCTCAGGCACGGTAGCCTACAGCCCTCGCTACAGCCCCACAGCGCACCTATCCCCACCCGCTCATGCCCCTGTTGGTCCTCCTGATATAGACCTGCAGGCCTCCAGTCTCCCCGGGATATCTGCTACAAATTATTCCCCCCCCTGTCAAGCCAGCCAAGGCAGTCAAGTCAGCCAAGGCAGTCATGCAAGTGAAACAAGTCAACTTGGGTCAACAGGAGGAACAAGACGGCCTGTAAGGAGCCGGCACGCTCGCTCGCTCTCAGGCTCTGTTGCTTACAGCCCTCGCTACAGCCCTCACTCTAGCAGCTTCCCAGGGCTTTCCGGCTCTGTGTGTTCTCCCCATTTCTCCCGCTCACGCACGCATGGGTTTCCGAGTAAGCCCCCCATGTCACCCAGCGCTTCTCGGGGTAATTTGGGTGGTAACCCTTGGGTAGTGGCTAGGGCGGACGCAGCAGCAGCAGGAGTAGCAGCAGCAGGAGCAGCAGAAGCAGGAGCAGGAAGAGCAGGAGTAGGAGCAGGAGCAGGAGCAGGAGCGGGAGGAGCAGCAGGGGCAGGAGCAGGAGGAGCAGCAGGAGCAGCAAAGCCAATGTTACCACCAGGCACAGCTATAGCCACAGGAGCACGTGCAGGGGAAGGAGTGGGAGAGAAAGGAGGGGTGGGAAGCGGTGCAAAAGGAGCAGGGATGGGTTCTGTGAGACGCAGGCAGCCCGGGCGTTTAATGGCTGCTAGGCGGTTGTCTTTGGATTTGAATAACGAAGGGGTGTTTGGGAGAATCGGTTGGGAGGAGTGGACAGGGAAAAGTCTCGTTGTGGGGAGGCCAGGGGAGGGAGGGAGGGATGTGACTAAACCGAGGGAGGGAGGGGAAAGGGATGTGACGAAAACGAGGGAGGGAGGGGATGGTGATGTGATCAACGCAAGGGATAGAGAGGAGAGGAGGTTATCAGTTGGGGAGCAAATGCGTTTGCCTGGGATGCCTATACATACTCGAGGAGAGGGTGTTGTGGGAGAGAGAGGGCGGGGAGTAGGAGACAATAGGACTCAGGGAAAGGACGAAAAAGAAGCAGATGTTCCAGATACAGGAGTCTTATTAGCTCGACGAGATGGGAACGAGGGCCGACTCAACGGGGGGAGGGAGCAGGGAGGAGGAGGTGGGGTTGGGATTTCAGAAGAGAGGGGAGGAAAGCGTAATGACACGGGACTCTCGCCCTGTATTCCAGTGGGAAATGCTGCTTCAAACGTCACTGAGGTGGTTTTTGAGGCGCCTAAAAAACCACCTTATATTTTGCTAGGAAATGCTGCTTCAAACGACACTGGTACGAAAACTGGTAGCAGCAGTGGCAGTAGCAGCAGGCCCATGCGTCCCCCTGTTAGGCATGCTTCATTGAATCTGAGACAATCGGTCGATGAGTGGAGGGAGGGGCAGGAGGGGACGCAGGGAAGGGAGGTTAAGGAAGGGAGGGAAGGTGGAGAAGGGAGTGTGGAGAAAGGAGGCAAGGCAGACAGCAAGAGTGGGAGGAAGATTGAAATCAAGAATAGCAGAAGCAGTGGCAGTAGCAGGCCCTTACGTCCCCCTGTAAGGCATGCTTCATTGAACCTGAGACAAGCGGTTGATGAGTGGAGAGAGGGGAGGGAAGGGAGGGAGGGGAGGGGAAGGCAGGATGAGAGGGTGATAGCTCTTGAGTCAGCTCAAAACTCACAAAGTAAAATCCGTCCTGGCAAGGCCCTACGACCCCCTGTGAGGCATGCCTCCCTGGACATGCGACGAGTGGTAGAGGAGTGGAGGGGGGGGCAGGAGGGGAGGGAGGAGCAGGAGTGGAAGGAGGGGCAGGAAGGGAGGATGGGGCAGGGGCGGAGGGAGGGGAGGGAGGGGCAGAAGGGGAGGGAGGAGGACGGGCAGGAGAGAAAATCTGAGCATGTTACGAGGAGGCTGGAGGGCCAAGGTAGCCGTTCATTTCCCGAGATTCAGAAGGAGCAGCCGTGGGATTTGGAAATCTCCGAGTCTGAGTTCTCAGGGCCTGAAGCACCTGGATTAACTCCTGGTAAGGGTGGTGGTGCTGACGCTGCTGGGGACGCTGGTGCTGCTGGCACTGCTGCCTCTGCCGGCCGGACTGGCGTTGACCCGTTTGACTTTCTTGGAAAGCCGGTTGTGAAATCGAGAATCGCGCTGCTCAAGGAGAAGAAGAAGAAGGAAGTTGGGTTTGAGATTGTTCAGAAAGAGCCTCAGAAAGAGAAGAGAAAAGAAAAGGGGCGGATAGGAAGGCAGAGGTCGCTGGATGCAAGGGGTAGGGGGGCACTGGGAAGAGGAGGGTCCTGGGACTTGGGAGGATGGGATGAGGGAGGATGGGATGTGGGAGCACAGAGAGCAAGCACGTTGCAATTCGACCCGATTTGGGGCCTTGAGCAGCAGAGTCCTGCACGTGATCGGGGTGCCAATCTCGAGAATTTTGAAGGTTTAGATTATTCTGGCGTTGGTCTAGGGCGTCTTGAAAAGTCTCAGAACGTGGGGTTTGGTCTTGGTCTTGAACGTTGTCAAGAGGCGTCTTTTATGGAGGATGGTGGTGGTGTTTTGGGGAGGGGCGAGAAAGAGGGTCTAGGGGACATGGGAGTTGGTAGGGGAGGTGAGGGAGGGGAGTGGGGGGAGAGTAGGCAGCGAGATGGACAGCTAGAGAGACTAGGCCGATGGGGGTCTTTGGATGTTGGCGGGAGCATGGGGGGAGGGGAGGGTGGGAGAGGAGAGGGTAGGGGAGGTTGGCAAGGGGAGGGGGAGAAGAGAGTGGAAGATTGGCTGTTCAAGACACCAAGGGATGGTCAGAAGCAGCACCATCGGTCTTTTGCCGCTTCTACTAGCGGTGCTGCTGCTGGTGGTGGTGCTGCTGCTGGTGGTGATGCTGATGGTGCTTCTGCTGCTGCAGCTGCATCTGCTGCTGCTGCGGCTGCTACGGCTGCTGCTGGTGGTGCTGCTGCCGCTGCTGCTGCTGCTGCTGCCACTGCTGTTGCTGCCGCTGGTAGGAGCAGCAGCGGTGTCAGATGGACGGAGCTTCCTCCGAGTCCCTTGAAAAGCCCTCAAAACACCCGTCCCCTTAACAGCAGATTCGTTAAAAGCCCTTCTTTATCAAGCGCTTCCGTCACTATCCCTTCTTATAATCTTTTCACCAGTAGCAATCCCGTCAATATTCCCAGAAGCCCGTCCTCTAGAGCCGGGTTCCCTAAAAGTTACTCACTTAAGAGCCCGCATTTAAGGAGTCCTAGCGCATTGAGTCCTGGCCTTACTAGCCCGGATTTTAAAAGCCCTGGTCTTACCGGTTTGCACTTAAGAAGCAGCCCTAGCGCTATGATCTCTGGTATTTGCAGTAGCCCGCATATAAGGAGCCCAACTAGTGCTATAAGCCCTCTTTCCAGAAGCCCTTGTGTGAAGAGCCCCTTGCGTAGAGTAATACTGAATGCATCTGAGCTTTCCTCTCCTCCTCCTCCTGCTGCTGCTGCTGCTGCTGCCGCCTCTGCCGCTGCTGGTACTAATACTGGTGCTGCTGGTGCTGCTGCTGGCACTGATACTGATACTGGTGCTGCTGCTGGTGGTGCTGCTGCTGCTGGTGCTGCCGGTTCTGCTGGTGCTGCCAGTGCTGCCGCTGCTGCTGCTGCTGCTGCCGCTGCTGCTATGTCAACAGCCAGCCCTGCTGATTTTCCTGAGAAAGCACCTCAGGGGATGAGCACTCGTAAGAGGCTGGGTGGAAGGCAGGCGTCTCTAGATCCCAGGAGTCTGGAGGTGGTGGCTGCAGCTGCTGCTGCAAATGCAGACGTGGGAGCAGCTGCTGTGGCAGCAGCTAGCCCTGCTAAGTCTCTTAAGAAAGCACCTGAGGGGATGAGCACGCGAAAGAGGCTGGGCGGAAGGCAGGCGTCTCTAGATCCCAGAAGCTTACAGGTAGGAAAGCAGAGGGTGGTGATGATGATGGGAGGGGAGAGGAGTGGGGAAGAGGGAGGGGGAGATGGGAAGGAGAAAGGGAGAGGACTGGAGGAGGGAGGAAGAGGAGGAGATGGGAGGGGAAAAGGAGGTGAGGAGCGGGGGGGAGGAGGCGAAGTGATTGGTATGCTGCGGCAAGAGGGGTGGCAGAAGAAGCAGCAGGTGAAGGGTAAGCACCAGGACAAGGAGCAGAGGCAACAGAAGCAGCAGCAGCAGCAGCAGCAGCAGCAGCAGCAGCAGCAGCAGCAGCAGCAGCAGCAGCAGCAGCAGCAGCAGCAGCAGCAGCAGCAGCAGCAGCAGCAGCAGCAGTGAAGGGGAAGCAGAAGAACGAGAAGCAGAGGCAGCAGCAATTAGGGCGGCACCGTTCCCTTGATCTATGGGCCTTCAGCCGTGCCTTAGAGGATAGCAGGGAGGCCACAAACGAGGATAGAAGGGAGGTTCTAAACGAGGGAATCAGGGAGGCTACGAACGAGGCTAGCCAGGAGGTTACAATAGAGGGTAGCAGGGAGGCTACAAATGAGGATATCATAGATGGTGCTGAAGCTGTAAGGAGGGAGGAGACATGGAGGAAAGGCATTTTTCAACTACCTTCAGATAGTGATTTCTCTGGGCCTGGAACTCCTGTGCCCACCGCTGTTTCTGGGTCTGCTGGTGCTGCTGTTGGCACTGCTGCCTCCCCCACTCGGACTGGCGTTGACTCGTTTGACTTTCTTGGGAAGCCGGAGGTGAAATCGAAAATTTCTCTGCTCAAGGAGAAGAAGAAGAAAGAAGTTGGGTTTGAAATTCCGCGAATGGAGGAGAATGCGGGGCGAGGGCACGCTCACCCTCCCTTCACAAGCAAAGGTCGCTAGATGCTCGAACCTGGGGGCCTTTGACCTTGAGTTCTGCTCCTGCTGGGAAGACTGGCGTTGACTCGTTTGACTTTCTGGGGAAGCCGGAGGTGAAATCAAGAATTGCTCTGCTCAAGGAGAAGAAGAAGGAGGTTGGGTTTGAAAATATTCCAAAAGAGAAGAAAAAGGGGCACGCTAAGTCGCCTCTTCACAAGCAAAGGTCGCTAGACGCGCGAAACTGGGGGACTTTGACTTTGGGTAGAGTTTCTGCTGCTTCTGGGACTCTGGGACTGGGTGCTGCTGCTGGGAAGACTGGCGTTGACTCGTTTGACTCTCTTGAAACACCTGTTGTGCCGCAGTCAAAAATAGTCAAGACGGAAAGACTCGGGCATTCGATGCAGTCTGTTTTTGAGGCGCCTCAAAAAGAGGAGAGATGGAGGCTGCCGATGCAGCGGCATGCTTCCCTGGATTCAAGGAGAGAATTCCTGGATTTCAGGGGAGATTTGCTGGATTTAGGGGAGGAATCCCTGGATTTCGGGGAAGATTTGCGGGATATAAGGAAATACTCTCCCCTGGATTTCAGCAGAGAATTTCTGCATGCAAGACAAGTTCTGCTGGATTCGAGAGAAGAAACCTCGGTGACTTTTGAGTCGACTCAAAAGTCATTTTGGGATGCAAGAGAGGTTCTGCTGGATTTGAGAGAAGAAGCCTCGGGTTTTGGTAGGGAGGTGAAGGTTGGGCTGACTTTTGAGTCGACTCAAAAGTTAATTCTGCTGGACTCGAGGGACGAAGCCTCGGGTTTTGGTAGGGAGGTGAAGGTTGACAGGCTGAGGAGGAGGGGTTCGCTAGAAAGTATAGGAGGCTCTAAGCAAGATGCTTACTTAAAAATTGCTGGTGGAGGGGAGATGTGGGGGGATAGGAGCTGGGGACGAACAGGAGGCGGGGGGCGGAGCTTGGGGAATCGACGGCAGCGCTCGCCGCTGGGGAGGAGGAGGTCGATAGAGGGAGGAGGGCTGGACGCTGCTTTGGTTGTGCAAGATGGGGGTGTTGAAGGTCGAATGGATGACCGGGAATGGGGAAAAAAGGGATTGGGGCAGAGTTTGGGGAACCGACGGCAGCGCCCGCCGCTGGGGAGGAGGAGGTCGATGGGGGGAGTGGGTGAGGTGGTGGATTATTTATCAGCCCTGAATGAAAAGGCTGAGGGTACAAGACCGGGCGACACGCAGGGTGGCGCAAGAAATTTGTCGCTGCTGGAAAGGAGGAGGTCAATGGGGGGAGTGCGGGGAACGGGTGACAGGACAGGAGAGAGACCCAGTCCTTTAACACGAAAGTCCTTGCTGGAAAGGAGCAGGTCGATGGGGGGTGGGGGGGTGCGGCCCTCGGTTAACCTGCTCAGGCTGACGGGCTGTTATTTATCCACTTCAGATGAGCAGGCTGAGGCTGAGGGTTCAAGAACGCATGAGAGGCAGGGGGGTTCGAGAAGGAGGTCTCCCCTGGGGAGGAGGAGGTCGATGGGAGGAGTGGGGGGGGTGGTTGATGATTTATTACCTGTGAGTGGGTGGGCTGATGGGTGGACAGGAATGCGGGAGAGGCAGAGTGGTTTGAGAAGGAAGTCTCCTCTGGGGAGGAGGAGGTCAATTGGGGGAGTGGAGGGAGTGGGTGACCAATTATCGGCTGTGAGTGGGTGGGCTGATGAGGGTGCAGCAGGAATGGGAGAGAGGCAGGGTAGGTCGAGACGAAAGTCTCCTCTGGGTAGGAGGAGGTCGATGGGGGGAGCGGGGGGTTCAGTTGACCAGTTATCGGCTCTCAAACAAGCGGGTGAGGAGGGTACAGGAAAGAGTGAAAGGCATGGGGGGTCGAGACGAAAGTCTCCTCTCGAAAGGAGGAGGTCGATGGGAGGGATGAGGGGCGCAGACACGGCTGAACAGTTATCAGCTCTGGGGGGAGTGGGCGATGAGGGTACAGGAACGGGCAAGGGACAGGGGGGGTTGAGAAAAAAGTCTCCTCTGGGGAGGAGGAGGTCGATGGGAGGGAGAGTGAGTGCTGCTTTCGTTTCGGCTGCTGAAGCAAAAGCAGAGATGGTAACTGATTCAGAAGCAGAATCAGGAGCAGGAGCAGGAGCAGGTAACATGCGCGAGGAGGGAGGGACAGAAGCCAAGAAGTTTCATTGCCCCCCTTTCAACTCCCCCTCCCTCGGGTTCTCCACTCTAAACCTTTCCCCGGATCTCGAGTCAGTAGGTTCCCCCGTGTGGGCCGCTGCCAGTGGGGGGGAATCCAGGAGAGATCCTTATAGCAAGGCTACTTGCGGGGCTTATAACGAGGCTACTGAAGGGGGAGTGCGTCGGGCGAAGTTGTTCGTAGACTCATCCCGTCGACGTTCAGGGGACTGCTTTGAGTCTGATTCTGTGGATTCCCCAGTGTGGGGCACTGTCAGGGGGGAAGGCGGGGGGGGAGCACATGAGCAAGCTTCTAGGCTGGAAGAGGATCGAGGGGTGTGCAGAGCGGTGCGCAGGAGTGGTGATAGTAGCGGTAGGGCTGTTTTGGATTTGCAGGAGTCAGAATCGGCTGACTCGCCTGTGTGGGGGACAGTGAGCGGTGGCAGGCGAGGGGGAAGGCGAGAAAGAGGAGGAAGTGGAGGCGGGCTTACTCTGAATTTAGAGTCAACTCAGAAGTCACCTGGGCTTACAATGAATGTTCTGAAAAGTAATGCAGATGTTGCGGCGGGTAGCAGGGAACCGAGATGGCCTGTTTTAAATACGCATGATTCCGAATCGGCCGATTCTCCTGTGTGGGGGACGGTGAGCGGCAGCAGGCGAGGGGGAAGGCAAGGAGGAGGAAGTGGAGGTGGGGTTACAGCAGATGCTGATACTTTCAGAGCGTCTCGAACGGGCGGTGACGGAAAAGGGGCGATGAGAGGAGGAGGAGGCGGAGGCGGGGTTACAGCAGATGCTGCTACAGATGTTGCGGCGGGTAGCAGGGGACGGCGATGGCCTGCTTTGGATATGCACGATTCCGAATCGGCCGATTCTCCTGTGTGGGGGACGGTGAGCGGCAGCAGGCGAGGGGGAAGGCGAGGAGGAGGAAGTGGAGGCGGGCTTACAGCAGGTGGTGATACTTTTGAAGCGTCTCGTACGGGCGGTGACGGAAAAGGGGGGATGAGAGGAGGGGGTAGCGGAGGCGGGGTTACAGCAGATGCTGCTACAGTGCGCAACAGGGAACTGCGGTGGCCTGTTTTGGACACACACGAGTCAGAATCGGCCGATTCACCTGTGTGGGGGACGGTGAGTGGTGGACGGAGAGTGGGAGGGATGGGTGAGAGGGAGGATGGTTTTGCTGCAGATGCAGCAGTGGGAAAGGGGAGAGGAAGAGGGGTAACGTCTGATGCTGCACCTCCTGATGTGACACCTGATGAAACACCTGATCCAGCACCTGTTGCTGGAGCACCTGATGTAGCAGCTAATGATGCAACATCTGATGTAGCACCTGATGCAACACCTGATGCAACACCTGATGCAACACCTGAGGCTGCAGCATCTGCTAGCACTGCAGGTGTGAGGTGCTTCGATAGGATTGATGGGGAGGCAGTGGGGGAGGAAGGAAGGTGCCGGCGTGAGGAGAGGGCGGAGGGCAAAGAGGAGGGAGAAGGGGAGAGAGAAGGGGAGGGAGGAGGGGAGGGAGGAGGGGAGGGCGTCGGTAGTAAGAAGGTGAGTGAGGAAGTGAGGGAGCGAGTGAGTGAGCAAGAGGGTGAGGAAGTGTGTAGGGAAGTGAGTGAGGGAGTCAGCGCAAAGGAGGGTGAGGAGGTGGGCTCTAGGTTGAGGGTGAATGCGGAATCAGCCTGGCAGGGAGCAGGTAGGAAGGAGGAAAGCACCTCCTCTGTGTCGCATTCCTTGAAAGGCGTGAGTGGGGAAGGTGAGACTGGGGAAGGCGAGACTGGGGAAGGTGAGACTGGGGTAGTCAAGGCAAGAGAAGAAAAAGATGCTGTGAAGGATATGAAAGCGATGACAGAAATGAAGGGAATGAAGGAGATGAAGGGGATGGAAGAAACGGTAGAGCTCATGGAGATTGCTACAGCGGCATGTAATGAGCCTGCTTTTGAGTCGACTCAAACGCAGGAGATGAAGGGGATGAAGGGGATTAAGGGGATGGAAGAAATGGAGGAGGAGGAGCTCATGGAGGCTGCTACAGCGGCAGCGAGAGCCTTGAGATGCTGTGAGGAGGGGGATGAGAGGGAGGAAAAAGCCAGTACCATGCGATCATGTGCCACTAATTTCGAGGCGTCTCAACCCTCACAACCCGCCTCCAGTCCCACCTTACATCCCTTCTCCCGTCCCTCCTCCCGTCCCTCCTCCCATCCTCCTACTTCCCCACCTCCGTCCCTCCCCCCATTGTCCCCCACCTCCCATCCTCTCTCCCATCTGCATCCTCCTCCCTCCCACCCCTCTCCTCCCTCTCATCCCCCTCCTCCCTCCCACCCCTCTCCTCCCTCTCATCCCCCTCCTCCCTCCCACCCCTCTCCTCCCTCTCATCCCCCTTCTCTCTTCCGCACACTCTCCACCTCTCTCCTCCCCTTCAGACCACCCTCCCTCATCCGAACCCTCTCCTCCTCCTTCACCTCCTCCTCCCCTTCCTCCTCCTCCGAACCTGTCCTTCAAAGCTCCCGCTCTGCATCTTTCCCCGGACCTGCGATTCCCCCTTTCTCCTCGCCCTCTCCTGTACCCTCTGCCTCTCCTCCTTTGCCCTCCGAGGCCCGTGCAATTCCGTGTTCCTCTGCAAGAGGGAACAGCAGCAGCAACAGCAACAGCACCAGTAGCACCAGCACCAGCACCAGCAACAGCAACAGCAACAGCAGCAGCAAGCAGAAGCATTGGCAGCAGCAGCAGCGGCGGCAGAAGGAGAGCTAGGACACAGAGCAGCACCAACACTGCTAGCAGCACCATCTCTACTATCACCACTTCTGCTAACAAACCCTCTTCTAACAATACCAAGCCCTCTTCTAACAATACCACCACCAGCAACCGACTTCGTCGAACCTTCTCCTCCTTTTCCTTCCTTACTCAACACCCATCGCCGCTTCCTCCTCTCCTTCCTGTCCCGTTCCCGTCATTATCTGTCACTACCCCTTCGGAAGTCACAACAGTCAATACGCCCTGTACGACTGAAAATGCCATACCCACTGCTACAACTCCTGAGAATCACAGCGTGACTGGGGCTGCTGATGATGCTTCTCCTAATGGTGCATCTGATGGTGCTACAGCCGCTGCAGCTACAACAGACGCTTCTTCTGCAGCAGCTGCTGCCACAGCCGCCCTAGCTGCTACAGCCGCTGCAACAGTTACTGCTACAAGTGCTGCTGCTGCTACAACTGCTGCTGCCGCTACAGCCGGCGCTGCTGCTACAGCCGTCGCTGCTGCTACAGCCAGCGCTGCTGCTACAGCCGGCGCTGCCGCTACAGCCGGTGCCAGTCCCTTGTATCGTAGCTTCTCCCTCTCTGCTTCCTTTGCAACCCTCCGCCACACAGCCTCCAACTCCTCTTTATCGCTCTTCACCTCTCACCTTCCCTCCTCATCTGGTGTCTCCTCCTCTTCCTCCTCCTCCTCCTCCTCCTCCTCCTCCTCCTCCTCCTCCTCCTCCTCCTCCTCCTCCTCCTCCTCCTCCTCCTCCTCCTCCCCTCCTCCTCCTCCCCCCCTCCTCCTCCTCCTCCTCCTCCTCCTCCTCCTCCTCCTCCTCCTCCTCCTCCTCCTCCTCCTCCTCCTCCTCCTCCTCCTCCTCCTCCTCCTCCTCCTCCTCCTCCTCCTCCTCCTCCTCGTCCTCCTCCTCCTCCTCACTTCTCCATTCCCGGTCTATCCGACGCAAATCAGAGAGTTATAAGGAGCGAGCTGCAGTGTCCACACATCAACCTGCTATCTACACATCCTCCTTATTACCATCTTCCTTATTACCATCCACATCCCGGCGTGCGTCTATTGATATACCCGAGCTGGGTGCAACGCTTTTAAGATTGCCGAGTCTTTCTTCTTTGCTCCGCCAATGGAAGGAAGGCAATGTATCAGGTAGCGACAAGGAGGACAATTCACCCTAGAATTCTCACGAGGACGAAGGTGTTTGGACAAGCGCCTCTTATGGCTGGAAAGAAATCCAGCTAGAGTTGCAAAATTATGTATATTTTGTGTGTTGTTTTTATGCCATAATGGCACTACAATTCTAGCAATTCCAAGTGTCTGCTTGTGAACAGATAGCAAGAGAAACCAGCTACCGGTACCAAAAAGAGTTTTGAAATTTCAAATGCCAATGGTGTTTTTTTTTACAAATTGTTTTTGTTAGGTGTTCAAATTTCTCTCGAAACCTACCGAACATAAAATCAGCCAAACTTCTCAAACCGTCTGATGCCGTTTTCAACCGTGATGGTATTTCCAACCGAGGAAAGCCATGAGCCTTGATGAGCATCTAGGCGATGATATTTCCTCCGAGGAAAAAGCATGAGCCATGAAATTCCTTTCCGCGGTTCCCTCCAATACCAATGTTTCGCCTGCTTGTTCGACGATTTTTTAGGCGACTAAGACTTGTCCCCGACGCGAAGCTTAGGCCGCCAGGGAACGCTTCTAAGCGTGCGTACGAAGAATATGACCGTTTGTCTTGCGTACGCCACTGGAAAGGTCCCACCTCACACTCCTCTAATCGAATACACCGCGTGTGCTCGCTATAGTAGTGGTACGCAACGTCGCTGTAGCCTAAAATGCAGCACCTTTCCAGCGAGGATGTCCTGGTCGGGTAGTCTACAGGAACATAATTCTCCAATATCTACCAACATCATCGCTGACGTCAGATCAGGGTCACAGGCTCGACGGAGAAATGTGACCGTTGCTGCGAGGAAGCGACGCGTCGTAGCAGTCGAAAGTCAAGGCCGCCGCGGTAACGGGGACGCGAATGTGATTCCAGCGAGATGTGACTGTCCGTGGTGCTTCCCCGCTGCTGCTGCTGCTTCTCCTGCTACTTCTTCTGCTCCAGTCTCAAAAAGGTCGCTTATTGTAACAACAGCAACGGGAGGTCCTGAGAGACGAACGCGGGGAACAGAAGGTGACGGAGGTTCGAAAAGGAGAGCACAAACGGGTGCTGGTGCTGCAGGGAGTGGTGGGGGGGAAACCGAAGAAGGCTGCGAGCAGGCAGAAGGAGGAGTGGGAAATGGTCGAGAGGGGTATGGAGGAGCGGAGGTCAGAGGAGGAAAGGAGGGGGAGGTGGCAGATGAGGCGGGAGAGAGGAGAGAGGGGGTTTCGCCTTCTGAAGACGCTCAGCCTTCTCCTGCTGTGGAGCTCGCCGTTCGAATCCTCAAGTGCTACAAACGTGAGCTGTGACAGGGACGAGTGTGGCTTGTTGGCTGAAGTAAAAACCTGACACTACGTGCGTAACTTCCTTGTCTTCCCATTTCCCTCCCAGTCATTGATTCAGGAAAGCCGCTCCGGCTGGAGTTGATCTCACATGCAGCAATTGCTCAGTCATACTCGTCGTCTCACTCCCCATCCACTCTAATTTTTTCTAGGCGCCTCCAAAATCGCTCCGGCTGGAATTGATCCCTCGTGCAGCAACTGCTCAGTCACACTCGTCTCGTCCGCTCACCCCCCCTCCACTGCACTCCTCGTCCCGGCAGGAGGTGTGTTTTGAGTCGCCTCAAAACACACCTCTTGAGTCGACTCAGAGCCTCCTGTTTCCTCGTCCTCACATGAAGCAACTGCTCAGTCATGTTCTCCACTCACTCCCCCTCCGCTCCACTCACATCCCCCTAGAATTTGAGGGCAATTCTCCCCCTAGACCCCATCCTCTTGTTGGCTGATCCCCAAGTGCAGGAGTATTCAGTCACGACTCGTGGTGTCCACTCACTCTCCCTCCCCTCCACCCCCACTTTCCATCCTGAAGGACTTATCCCTCCCTATATCCCGGCCTCCTGTCACTTCGCGGGGAAAATCCCTTTTTGGATTAACTTTTGAGAATTCTCAACAGTACTTTCTGTGGTTGGAGAGAAAGTTCCTTTCTGTGTCCCAGCCTCCTGCTGACTGATCCCCAAATGCAGGAGTAGTCAGTCACGACTCGTGGCGTCCACTCATTCCCCCTCCCATCCACCCCCACTTTCCTCTACAGGAGAGATTTCCCCCTGAATCCCAGTCTTATCCCCAGATGCAACGAGTGTTAGTCATTATTATCTCCTCACTTCCTATCTCTCCCCACCATTATCCCTACAGGGGAGATTTGCCCCTGGATCCCGGCCTCATGCCAGTTCATCCCCACATGCAGCGACTACACAGTCATGATTGACCTCTTACTTTCCCATGTCACCACCATTTTTCCTGCAGGCGAGATTTCCCCCTGGATCCCGGCCTCATGCTGGTTCATTCCCACGTGCAGCGAGTATTCAGTCATGGCACTGGGCAATACTGACTTCATCCTCTCTCTCCCTCTCCCTCCCTCACTCTCTCTCCCACTGTCACCCTGCAGGAGAGATTCTCCCCTGGATCCCAGCTTCCTGTCGGTTCATCCCCACATGCAGCGAGTGTTCAGTCCTAATCTTTTACTTACTCCGCCCCTCCATTCCGCCCCCACTCTCACCCATGCAGGGGAGATCTCTCCCTGGATCCCGGCCTCTTGTCGATTCATCCCCACATGCAGCGAGTATTCAGTCATGGCACTGCGCAAGTACGGCCTTCTGAGAGGCGGGATTTTGACTGCATGGAGGTTGTTACGCTGTAACCCTTTCGGTGAGGAATATGTACATTTCTTTTTGTGGCTGCTCGTGGTTATTGTGAATTGATGTCTAACAGCACATTCACTGTAGGTGACTGCTACGCTACAATTTTGGGGTTTCCTTTTTTCCCTCAATTTATTTGCGTCATATCGCATCAAATGATGTTTGCAGGTCCGTCAGGTTATGATCCTCCGCGTTGGTTTGGGGAGCCTCCCCCGCCTTCTGTATAGCTTAGCCTATTCAAGCCATTCCCGACAGCTTTACACTACAATAAACTACAGTATGTGCTATTGATAAAGTATTGTCCTCGTTTGCATGTTCTTTGTTAAGCAAGTGCTTCTTCTTCCACATAGTGTCAACTTAAGTACATGTTCCCAACGCCTGCTGATGTGACTGTAACGGGTACAAATAATTGGATGCGGATGCTTCGTGCATTTTCCACCAGTCAGCAGCACCGACAATCACTGCAGCAACGTACGGTTCCTTGCAACAATTTGAGACTGGTCAGCTGCAGCTGTTGTACCAAACAGTACAGCTGGCAGCTGAAACGGACAATTGTTATGACCGTTTCAGCAGTACATCTGCGGTTACAGATGATGAGAACACCAGACAAATTGCAAGCACTGCCATGGGCCAGAGGCACCCCTGGTCCCTCTTGCGACTTGTACGACCGAGCCGAGCGGGGTGACGACGATGACAGGCAGAGCTTACAGGCCGGGCTTTCAGTCCGTCCGAGCCTGAAGCTTCTCAACTCAACCTTGCCTGAGGTTCACAAAGCAACAATTGCGGTTCGTTTCTGTTTCGCCAAACCGTAGCGAGGGTTCGTGCCAGGGAGCCAGTCAACGCTGCTCGGCCCCGCCTGCACCTTCCACTGCCATGCGGTTTCCCCATCTTTTTCTCGAACCTCTCGTCTCGAGCCAGGGCTTGTAAGCCGAGGTTCGACGGTTTGCTTTGGAACCAATGAATGTGGCTCGGTGGAGGTTGTCAGGATTATACTTTCTAGGGTTATCTGCGCAACCCTGCGCCGCAGGGCCTCCTAAGGGCGTGGAACATTTTTACGAACACGTCGAATGGTCGAATTGATGGTTGCTTCTGGCGATTGCGAAGGATTTAGGGAAACCCCATCGTGCGAGATGCCCAGTATTCACCCTCATTCGACCGAGTTTCAATGGTAGTTTCCATAGGATTTTCGTCGCCTACCTACACTGTCCAGAGAAGTGGGACAACGTTTAACTTCGATTGTTCCACTGAAAGTGTTTTCCAGCCCCGCTCTACTTGCAAAACATACAATTTTCCGCCCCCCGACGTTCCACACCCTATTCGAATGCTTAAACTAGGATCAGATGTTTTTTCTTAGTTTGGGTAGTATTTCGTAGGTGCCCCACGTTCTGGCGAACAGATTAGCTCGAAAATCTCGCATTCTTCGCATCTCTGTTACACCTTTCGCTATCGCTAGATCCAACCATACGGGCGACCATTTGGCATGGTCGGAAAAATGTTCCACGCCCTAAGAATACACATGGAACTCGACTCGAACCTTTCGGCTGGAGCAGCAGAAAAAGCCATACACCCTCCCGGCGCACTTCGCGCTATCGAACGCAGTTGTTCTGACAAACACGCCTCACTTTTTAAACGTGCTCGAGTGATAACGCACTCGTTAGGATCGTTCGCCACCATGAACCGAGAAACTGGATCCAATCTTGGTGAAATGCATGACTATTACGCTCAACCGCGTCGAATGGCACGCGGAGAGATTAAAAGCAGGGGAATGCCGCTAGGGAGGAAACGGCATTCGCGGAACCAAGGTCTTCGCGGAGCAGCGCTGAGCATGTTCGCGTGCGCGGCTCCTCTGCCGACGAATGGCTTCACAAGTGATAACAGCGGGAGTGATTCTATCGACGATGAGGCAAACCACGCGCGCCGGATTCAGGGTTCGTACGCAACTGGCGGAGATGAGACGGGAGGCTTCCGCGTTGCGCAATCCGATCAGATTTCCGACGGAACTCTCCGAACCGGTTTAAACCCGAAGCATTGGACCCTCAGTCTATCGCCTCCTCTCCTTCGTCCATCTCCTCCGCCAAAATCCTTTCGAGATTATCGGATCCTCCTGACGAAGAATAACATGAAGACGGAATCATCCCAACGATCAGAACAAGCCCACGGCGAAGCACATCGGAGAAAAGCACACAGGGATCGGCGAACAATCATGATTCCTTCCTGCATGACCGCTCCGCCTGTGCTCTCCTGGCCGAGCTCTGCTGCTGCTGAAGATGAAGTGAATTCAAGAACTCCCATTGATCCAGAATCCTCCACCTTCTCATTTCCCGGGGAGACGGACCTGATTGCCGAGAGGCATTCGAGTGCTCAAGAGGCTCTTGAGGCACCTGGAACATTGTCAAGACGGTCTCATCTTGCGCCGGTGTCCCTCTGCTCCCCACAATCCACCCTCGCGCCATCATTCTCGCCGAAACCCATGCCCGGTGCTACATCTCCTTGTTCCCAATCTGGCTTTGCTCCATCCGTCAGCTCTTCAGGCCAGTGTGACTCTTATGTCACCCCTAATAGAGGCACATTCCTCGGCACATGTTCTCCTGATGGCGTTGCGGTTTCCTTTCCTGAGGGTAAAGTGATGAGCCCATTATCCTGGTCACATCAAGTGGACAAAACACTGGAGCAACTGCAGGTTACTCAGCTGGGGACTGAAAAGGGTAGGATGACGGAGGCTGAAGTTGCTGTTGTTCGTTCCATCGGCAACACTGAGCATGAGGAGAATTTAAGCAGTGACGAGCTTGATTGCTGCGGTTTGAATTGTGACAACATAGACAGTGTGGAGAAGAATGGGATGAGTGAGGAGGAGAGTCTAAGGATAAAGCTTGCACATATTGAGGAGAAATTACTAAGGTTGAGGAGAAAGAGGATGGAGTATGTTGAGAGGCTCCAGCATGCTCAGTTGAAGAAAGAAAAACTGGCAGGGCCCATTCAGCAATGGCTGAGGCCACCTGCTCGCTTGAGCAAATAATGAAAACCATGGGTACTAATATTGTCTCACCAATATGTTGTCTCACTAATACCATGCTGTATCACTAATTCTATAAAATTTCGAGATTGCTTCTACACGGAATCCCCAAGGCATTCAGTAGTATCGCCAATTTGATTTGTTCGCCAATCATCGGTGCTGCCCCCGTTTTCTGCTCTGCACCCAGTCGTGTTCCACCGACCCGTACAAACAAATTGTCTCTTGATGTTACCCGTCAGCGCCGTCGATTGGCGGATGGGATTTCGTGATGTCGCACATCAGTCCCTCCCACCAATCTCGCCCTTCCCATAACGTCGCACTTGTCACTCGCATCGCACGTAACCGTCGTCCTCGTCGCTCACACGGAACTTGCCGCCAATGTTCTCAGTGCGGGGGGGTGGCTGTGTCGTTCCTCCCTCACGGCATATACCGCGAGTTTGTTGGGATGCCCCTTAATAATGCTACTTACGTTATAGAACGGTGTGGTCTAGAATATATCTGGTTCTGCACGGTATAAAACTTTGTGGCACACCCCTACCCTTCCACCTGCAGTAACTGTCGTTTTCTTTCAGCTTTCCACTTTAGTTGCCTTGCCTCATTGTGCAGACTGCACTACTTTGGTTTCCATGGTTGCTGCTGCCTGCTCCTCTTGCGAACCCCCTCCTGTCTTCATTGCTGCTACTCCTGTTGTCGAAAACGCTGTCTGATAACCGACCTTCGGTGTTCTGAAATTAGGGCAACGCCGGTGCCCTTTCGTATGCCGGCAAAGTTGTTCGCGGGGTGAAACAGCATGGAGAATAGGCGCAATTGAGTTCATGCTGGGGAAGTTTTCATGCAGTGAAGAACGCTGGGTAAGCGCCGCTATTCCATGTCGGCAAGGCGAGACTAGCTTCTTAAGAGGTAGCCGTTCCGTCAGGATCTTTTATTCATTGAAACTAACTTATTCTCACACGCTACCTTTTGACTTTAGGAGAATAACGTTTATTTATACCTTAACTTCAGACCAGCTCTAACCTTCAGGGCCGCAAAAAAGTCATGTCAGAAACGGCAGCTTACCGGCTAGTAGTTCCTAACCACGATGGGGAACATCCTATAGTCCCACCGGAGTTCATCTGCCCGCTATCGCACCAGCTCTTATCGGATCCTGTTATTATTGGGTCGGGTCAGACCTTCGAACGCGGCGCCATTGAGAAATGGTTTCAACAGGGTAAGCGAGTCTGCCCTATAACGGGGAAACACCAAGAGCACATGCGTCTCTTCCCGAACCAAGCGCTGCGTCAGCTGACTTCTGATTGGTGCGACGCGAACGGGTTACACCTCGCTCCCGGTCTAACTGTAACCCAGATCGATCCGTCAAGCCCTTCCGGTAAAGCTGCTGGCAGCGGTGCAGAACCTGACGGCCACAATGGCGTTCTTCCGTCAACGTCAGCCGAGCACATGGACGAGGTCATCCGTTTCCGTCAGGAACTGCAGCGAGCCCAAGCGTCTACGCCCAAACTTGACGGCGGAAACGGCGCGCTCAATTTTAACGGGCTCACTCCCTCGGGAGGCGCTATTGGCGGCCGCGGATACGCGGAACCTCCGCGGACGCCGCCGGGACTTGGGGGTTTGCGGGGCAGCGGCGCGAATGCGCTACTGAGCGGCGCCACACGGACGGTCAGGATCTCCCGATCGCAGTCGTTGCAGCCCAAGGCGGGCGCGATGGGGGCGTTTCTCCGCGCGCTGAAAGAGACTGAGGGGGCGGAAAGCGAGGGGAAGGGGGGAAGCGGAGAAGGGGGAGGCGGCGGAAAAGGGTTTGGCGCAGGCGGGGAGAAGTCCCTCGGGTTGCGCCGAGCTGCGGATCCGCTTGACGGGGGCCACGGCGGAAGTGGAAGCGGCGGCTTGCGCGGAAGCGGGGAAGGGGGAAGGGATTCCGGGCGGAGCGGAAGCAGGAACGAGCTGTCCGGAGGCCGGAAGGAGGGGGGAGATCCGGAGGAGCGCGGACGGCAGGATGGCGAGATGGGGAGAAACGGCGGAATTGTGAACCGCCGGCTTAACTTGGGGGGCGCGGGGGTGATGGCGGGCGGAAGCCTTGGGCGCAAGATGGGGAGCGCAATGCGCCGATCGACCTCGGTTCAGGTGCAGAACATGTCCGCTTCGGGCAGCCGCGCGGGCAGCGGACGAAAAGACGCGTTCCACGAGGCGGTTGAAGAGATGTTGGGGGAGAAGCGGGCAGGAGAAAAAGATTCCGACGGGAGGCGTGGGGGGAGCAAGGATCGGGATTGGGAGAAGGACAGGAACAGGGATAGCGATCGGGATGAGCGCAATTTCCGGTCGGATGACGATCGTGACCGTTCTTCTAACGAGCGTCGCAATAGCGGGGAGTTTCGTCTCGAGGAGTATTCGTCCGAGCGGGAAGAGCGGGGCGGGAGGAGGAGCGCTGAGTATGACAGGAGTTCTAATAGCGGGGGGAGGAGTTTATCTCATTTATCTAACTTAGCGGGTGGCGGAGGAAGCAATCCTAGCAGCGGAGAGTTCGAGATCGGGGGAAGCAGGGGCGCGGGGGAATCGAGGACCGCGGGCGGAGCCGGAGGGGGAGTTTCCAGGTTGGGAGCCGGGGGAGGGGGAGCGGGTGGAGACCCCTTCCGCGGACTCGGCGGAAACAGGGTGCCGATCGGGGGAAGCGTGGGGCGGCGGAGCGGAATGGGGCTGTTGCGCAGCGGATCCCTGCAGCCGCGCAACTCGCGCAAGATCGCGCGCGACTCGTTTTTTGGCGCGCTAGAAGAGGTGGCCGAGGAGAAAGGCGCGGGGAAAGGCGCGGGGAAGGGCGCGGGCGCGGGGGGGGAAGGCGCGGGGGAGGCGGGCGCGGGAGACGCGGGCGGGCGCAGGGTTCCGCACTCGCTTTCCGCGGGTGGGCAACCGCCTATGAGCCCTCTTAGGAGTTCCCTCGGCCAAGAAGGAAAACAGGGCTTCGAGTTACCCCAGGCTCACAGACGCGGCCACTCCGTTTCGCTCCACGATTCCTCCAGCGGCGGCGGCGGCGGAGTGCTAGAAAAGGGCGGCGGCGCGTTGGCGGGGCTCCCAGTTGTGCCTCTAACGGGGGGAGCGGCTGTAGCGGGCGTTCCCGGGGTGGGGGGGGTGGTTCTCTCGGGAAAATCACGGCCGCTTTCGAGCCTTCGCAGAGCATCCTCTTTGGTGCCCGTGGGAGCAAAGGATAGGCCGGGGAGCGCGGGGGGGCTGAGGGGCGGGGGAGGCGGAGGGTTAGGGGGAGGCGGAGGGGGAAAAGGAGGGGATTCGGAGGATTCGTTTTCGTTCCATGATTTTGTGAAGGAGTTGAAAGCTAGTGGCGGCGGTGGTGGTGGTGGCAGTGCTGCTGGTGGTGACTTGGGCGGTGGTGGTAGTGGTGGTGGTGGGGGAGCGCACAAGAGAACCGGTTCCTCTGGCGAGCGTGACAATAACGAGCCCTTTTCGTTTTCAGTCAGCCATGCCAAAAACAAAACCAACCCCAGCACCAACGCGGACCTACCCAGAAGCAGCAGCGCCACAACCAGCAGCAAAGCAGACTCTGACAGCCCAGCCCGCAGGCAATTCCCCTCGTCTCTCTCCCTTTCCAAAAGCCCTAGAGGAGCAAGAGGCGTCACGTTTGCGTCTGGGAAAGATTTAGTGGAAGATTTGAGTCTCCGTCCTAAAACCCCTCCTACCAGGTTCGGAGGGTTGGGAGGGGGAGGAGGAGCGGGAGGAGGGGTGTTGAGGCCGAGTAGTGGGGGGTTCGGAGCGAGAGGAGGAGGAGGAGGAGGGGGGTTGAGGAGGGCTACGTCAGTCCAGCCTGGGCTGACGTCAGCGGATATTAGGAAGTGGGGGGCGTTGGATGGGAGTGAGGGGGAGGGGGAGGGTGGGAGGGGGAGTGTGAGGGGAGGACGGGGGGACGGGCGAGGGGAGGGTGGGAGAGGAGGAGAGAGTGGGAGAGAGGGGGAGAGGGATAGAGGGAGGGAGGATGGGGGAGGGGGGCGTGGGGGGTTTGGGGAAAGTGGAAGCAGGGGAGGGGGATTGGACAGTGGAAGAAGGGGAGGGGAGGGAGAAAGGCGGGGAGGAGAAGGAGGGCGGTTAAGCGGAACAGGGGGAGGAGGAAGGGGGGGAGTGGGCGGAGGAGGGGGAGGGGGAGGGGGCGGAGGGGGCTTGCACAGGACATCATCCATGCCAGCCAATAAGAAGATAGAACATGACAGAGCGCAGAGGGAGAGAGAGGGGTATGGCGCACGGGATGGGCACAGGGACGCGCATGGCTTGAGGGAAGGAAGCAAGGAGAGGCACAGGGAGGAGCATAGGGATGGGCATAGGGGGGAGGGGCATAAGGAGGGGCATAGGGAGGGGCATAGGGAAGGGCATAGGGAGGGGCATAGACCCACTCGTCCTCATAGCAGCGGGGCCACGCACAGCCGTAGCAGCAGCCACATTGGTACCACCTCTCACGGTAGCAGCAGCAGCAGTGGGCATCACAGCAGCAGCAGTCACGGCCACAGTGGCAGCGGACACCACAGCCGCAGCAGCAGCAGCCACAGCAGCAGCAGCCACAGCAGCAGCAGCCACAGCAGCAGCAGCCACAGGAAAACGCACAGCGTGAGTCACTCCTCTAGCACTGGAAGCGACCATCACTCTTCCTCCTCTTCCTCTGCTGCTGCCGCTGCGGCGGCTGCTGCTGATTTGCCTGCTCTAGTCGAGGCTCTGTCTTCAGACTCTGACGCAGAGAAGGTAGAAGCAGTAAGCACCGTGCGCGCTTTACTAAAAGCCAACAAGGAGAACAAGGCGAAGCTGATCGCTGCTGGTGGTATACCACCCCTGGTGGCATTTCTGCAACGAAACAGCCCTACAGGGAAGGACCAGGCGGTAACCGCTATCTTGAACCTCTCTCTAGTTGCCGGGGCACCAGCAATAATAGCGTCAGTGGGGGGAATTGCGGCTATCACGGATGTTCTTCGCTCGGGCAGCCCGGCTGCCCGGGAAAACGCGGCAGCTGCCCTTTTCGCGCTTTCGGTGGATGAGGCAAATCAGACGCTGGTTCGGGAAGCGGGAGCTATCCTGCCATTGGTCGGCGTGTTGCGCATGGGCAGCACGCGCGGAAAAAAAGACGCGGCGTTGGTTCTTTTCAATCTATCCAGAGACCCGCAGAGCCGCCTGGAAATCGTTCGGGCAGACGCGGTAAAAGTTTTGCTCGGGCTGCTGGGGTGCTCGGAAGTAGGGCTGGAAGAAAAAGCCATGGCTGTGCTGGCGAACCTGTGCAGGCTTCAGGAGGGGTGTGAAGCGGTGCTGAGGATTAACGGTGCGGTTCCGGCGTTGGTTGCAGTGGTGGAGGGCGGTTCGCAGAGGGCGAAGGAGGATGCGGTGATGACTCTGCTGATGCTGGCCAATAGTGAGCCGGATTGCTGCCGGGGCATGCAAGGGGAGGGCATGATGGAGGTATTGCATGAGTTGACTCGAAATGGCTCTTCCAGGTGTAAGAGCAAGGCAAAGGCTTTGGTCGAGCTGCTGCAGATGCAGGGGGAGGAGGATTCTGAGTAGAAATGGATTGGATTGAGAGCCGGATTGCTGAGGGGGGGAGGAAATGTTGGCCCGGATTGGCTCTCTGGGTGTGAGAGCATGGAGTGGGCCCAAGGGTTTGGTAGACCTGCCACAGAACCAGACGGGGGAGAGCAATAAGTAGGGTGGGCTAGAAGGGAGGTCATCCCTGGATAGAGTGGGCTGAAAGGTAGGTAACCCTCGGTAGAGTGGGGTTGGTGGGAGAAGGAGAAACAAAGAGTTTTGGGTTCAGGAGGCAGATGACCAATCGACACCGCCCATTTCTTGTCTGTCAAGAAACCGACTCCTGTGAGTTGCCTCAAATGGGATGGGGAGAAGAGGGGAAGTTAAGGAAGGGGGTTATGATGATACTTATGAGAGAGGGGGTTATTAGGGGTACTCTAGGAGGAAATAATGTTTGAGGGGGATTTGATAATGTATAAGGGCGAAATAGGTGTTTGAGGGGGGATTGGTAATGTTCTTGGAAAATGTTGGTAATGGTGGGGTAAGTCTTATAATAGTGGGGGGCAAGTGGGGAAATGGAGTTACTAATCTAATGTGGTCGATTGAGAGTGAGTAACGCTGGAGGTCGAGAGAGGCATTGTGATTGTGTATAAGGTCTTTGTGTGGATGGAGTGGAGGGGGTTAGCTGGGGGTTGAATATGAGGGGGTTGAATGGCTGGTTCTGATGAGATGGATAAGCAAGGAGTGGAAAGGAACGGGAAAGGGTGGTTTACGATGTGATGATAGGTTAATCAGCCAGTCAGAGGCGACTAAGAGTGTTGAGGTCGGCGTTTCAGTGCGGATGTTACTGGTATCGTCAAGGTGCAGAGGTTCAGGAGGAAGTAATTCCAGATGATACGGTTATATATTCGAGTGGGAATGAATGGGGAGGGAGGGGGGATGTGTAGGGAGTGTTCGGAACGTCGAAGTTTACTCGTAGGAGGCCGTGGAAGAGACAAGTAGCAGCTGGAAGAGATGAGAGACCAGCAGCACGAGCAGCAGCAAAATCATCAGCATGATCAAGAACATGAGCAGCAGCAGCAACAGCAGCAACAGCAGCAGCAGTGGAGAGAAGTAGCAGGAGGGTTTCCAGACAGAAGCTTGTACGGGTGTTGTGGTTGAGTGGGCGATGTTTCGATGCTCATGATTAATGGATTAGATAGTTAACTGGGTGTCAGCTAATGATGTTGTGTGCTGTGCTAATTGCTGTAGAACATGTATGTGCTCTGCTTACACATCTTGTGCATCATGGATAATGTATGCAGCAGAGATGATTAACTGGGTGTTAGGTGATGTGGTTGTGTGCTAATTGCTGTAGAACTTGTCTGTGCTGTGAGATGCATCTCATAGATGGGGTTTATGAGGCAGAGATTATTAACCAAGTGCCAGCTGATGTGGTAGGTCAATACGGTATGTGTAGTGTATAGTCTTTGTTGGACAAGGTAATGTATGGTGCTGGCAGGTTCTTCATTGATACTGCATGACCACTGATTCTATCGGTGCATCTGTACAGAAGAGACCATCAAACAAACGACATGGTTAATCAATACAACCTACGTATTAGTGGTACCCAGTTCAAAGGATTCAACCAGCCTCAGATAGCGAGAGTAGCTGGGTTGTCGTTAACATTGTGGCCACTGCTGCTCCAACAAGATAGGATTGAACGGAGGAGTGGTGTGCCACGCTGTACAGGAGCAGTAGAGATAAGGGACCACATTGAAGATTCGCTTATCCGAGTGGAACACTGAGGAAAGTGGGATAAGAGTTCATAACACAGCAAGACAGGCGGCGATGAGAATGGTGGTTAATGCAATAAGCTAAACTCATAGATATATTTAAATACCATAACCAGATTAGAATAATAATGTCGCCTCTGAAACAGGAACCGTAGGATGGCGCAAGCCCCTACGGATCTCGCAGTGTCCCCGATGGCGTCTTGTGATTCGATATCGCACATAAGGAGAAGTCGAGAGAGGAGAAGTAAGCTCCTAGCCTCGACAGTGACAAGATGTGCTTATAACGAAGAAAATAGGAGACATTCCTGTGAAAAGAATGGCGTACCAGATTTAGATGTCACAAGCAGCCAGGTGATTCAACGCCACGGATCAGGCTGGACGCCGGATCTCGCACCCCACGTGACGGATCAGACGGTGATCTTTGCGTGCAGCTGATGGCTGGTCGTCATCTTCACATTCGCATCCTTCAGAAAGTTAATCGCCAGCGGAATGCTTCGCGTGTTCTGCGAGTGAATCGCCGTCATCGTCAGGGTTTACCAGGTAGTTGCATCTTTTAACAGCTCAAGAAACTGATTTTGACCAACAGGTATTCTCCACCTGCCAATCCCTTGAAGCTGTCTGAACGCCGAGACTTCGACGCTGCGTGAATTGTTATACGGCGATACATTAGCGGTCATTCCCGCTTGGATCATTCTAGTTCCGATACACGGAAAATGGCATTGTTGATTGCAGAATAAGGCCAGGTGACCTAATCCCCTGAACCGGTAATTCTTGCTGAACAGCTCTCACCTACGTGGAAACGAGAAATACAAAAATCTGATCATAGCAGGTGTTGTAGAGTGGTCCTAGGTTTATGATTTGGCAAGGGTTCAGCGCCAAGAGCTGTTAATGATTGGGCAGGGAGATGGGAGTCTGCCAAGGCACACTGCAAGGGCGTATTCCGGCTCGGTCCATTCGGATGCCATCGCACTTCACCGAGAGAACGAACGGCTCAGACACACGGGGTGGGGACTGCGAAGAAGGCGGGACCTCGTGTCGTGCTGAGAATGATATCATACGAAGCCAAAGTAGGGACTAACGTAATAGGGTGTGGCAAGGCTGGAACTCGATACAAGCACAACATCCCATCCCAACATGAAGCTTAAAATCAGTAACGCACTTCCTTAGCTTAACATCTGGGGCGTAACACATGCAGACCTTAGTCCTAAAGCAAGTTGCTTAGTATACACCTATGGTCGCATTGGAAAAACTCACAGAAGGAGCCTATTCAACACCTTGTGCACACCCATGCAGCTCTAAAACCCCAACCTCATCATTTACCTGGGAGGTGGAATCCCACCACTGCCCGCACTGATCATCCACCTCGATCGTCCTATACTTCTGCGGAACCACCCGTGCTGCTCTAAAACCCCAATCACATTCTTTACCTGGGTGGCGGAATCCCACCGCCGCCTGCACTGATATCATCCAGCTCAATCGTCCTATACTTCTGCGAAACCAGCTCCGCCTGCACCTTCCTGGCTGTATCCGTAGCGCAGCCGACTAAAATGAGGATGGACGTGCCCGCAAACCCCCGGAAGGCCGTGAGGTGGGTGATTCCTTCCACAAGAGCCGGCGCTGCTGCCATCGTGCCGAGAAATGCTGACCCGAGCACCGAAATGCGAGTGAGAACCTGGGATTGAGTAGGGCAAGCAGCAAGAGAAAGGGGGAGAAAGGGAGAAGGGCATGAGAGTGGGATGGAAGCGAAAGAGGGAAAGAGGGACGAAAGAGGGGAGGAAGTGAAAGAGGGACAGAGAGAGGGAAAGGGGAGGAGAGAGAGCGAAGAGATGTAATCACGGGATATTTGACTTGCCAAATGTTTGACACAAAGCTTCCCTGCCTCTTGAGCTGGCCTCATCACAGATGCACTTTGCTGCAGTTCTCACAGCTGGTCTTGGTGTGATGTGATGAGCGACGCAGTTGCTTTGCCGGGCCCGGTGTTAGGCACAGAGGCCCCTTGCCCCTTGAGCTGGTCTGGCCAAGCACGATAACCTGAGACCTTATGAATCTACAGCTGACTAGCGAACTCACAGGGGCTCACCTTGGTAATAGAGCACGCTTAGCAAGCTCGAGGCTCAAAGGGGCTGAGCAGCGGTTGCTTTGCAAGGGCGCATGGTGGGCACGTAACGTAGGCGCCCTGCCTCTTGAGGGTGGGATGTACTAGTAGAATAAATGATGCCTTGCGAATGAGCTGAGAACAACAAAACTTACCTTGGTGATGAGTGCAGCGGTTGCTTTGCCGGGGCGGGTGTCAGGCACAGAGGCGCCCTGCCTCTTGAAAGTGGGATACATGCCCTATTGCTACAAATAAAAGAGTCAAGAACAGCCCACCTTGGTGTTGAGTGCTGCTGTTGCTTTGCCAGGGCGGGTGTTGGGTACAGAGGCGCCCTGCCTGTAGAGAGTGAAATACATGCCCTGTTGCTACGAATAAAAGCGTCAAGAAGAGCCCACCTTGGTGATGAGTGCAGCGGTTGCTTTGCCAGGGTGCGTGTTGGGCACAGAGGCGCCCTGCCTCCTGAACTGGTCTTAAGACATGTGCTTTAATTTAACTGGAAAGTGAAAATGTTCTATCCCACCTTGGTGATCAGTGCAGCGGTTGCCTTCCCAGGGCGAGTGTTGGGCACAGAGGCGCCCTGCCTCTTGAGCTGGTCGCTGACGTCAGCAGGGTCGAGTTGCAGAAAGGTGTAGAAGTAGTTGAAAAAGGCGATCAGAGCCACGTTGGCCGGCAGATAGAAGAAACCTGGATGTGGGGAGGATGTTGACGATGCAGGGAGAAATAAAGGGAAGGGAGAGAGTGAGTGGGTGAGTTGCAGGAAGGTGTAGAAGTAGTTGAAGAATGCAATCAGAGCCACGTTGGAGGGTAGGTAGAAGAAACCTGGATGGGATGATAAGGTGTAAAGAAGTTGAAGATACAAGGAGCAAGAATAGGACAAAGTGAGTTGCAGGAAGGTGTAGAAGTAGTTGAAGAATGCAATCAGAGCCACGTTGGCAGGCAGGTAGAAGAAACCTGGTGGGGAGTGACAGGGTACCGGATACGGGGTGAGAGGGTACAGGAGATGGTGAGTTGCAGTGGGAAGGTGTAGAAATAGTTGAAGAATGAAATGAGTGCCACGTTGGCAGGGAGATAGAAGAAACCTGGATATGCATGGAGCCAGGAACATAAAGGGAGAGGAGGAGGGAGAGGGAGCAGAGAGAGGAGTGAGTGAGTTGCAGTGGAAAGGTGTAGAAATAGTTGAAGAATGAAATCAGTGCCACGTTGGCAGGGAGATAGAAGAAACCTGGATATGCATGGAGCCGGGAACATAAAGGGAGAGGAGGAGGGAGAGGGAGCAGAGAGAGGAGTGAGTGAGTTGCAGTGGAAAGGTGTAGAAATAGTTGAAGAATGAAATCAGTGCCACGTTGGCGGGGAGATAGAAGAAACCTGGATGTGAGAAGTAAGATGCAAACAGGAGTATAAAGGGAGCATGTGAGTGAGTGAGTTGCAGAAAGGTGTAGAAGCAAATCGAAGAAGGCAATCAGTGGATGGTTACGAAGGCCACATAGGCAAGTAGATTCCCTAGAGAGCGTACCTCCCGGGTAGAGTGCAGTTGCAGCGGACTGGAAGGCAGCACTGCCGGTGAAGCGAGCGATGGAGTAGGGAGCAGCGAGGAGAGAGGAGGAGAAGATGATGGGCATGACTCCCGTTGAGTTGACCTGCAGGGAAGGATTGGGGGTTGGATAAAATGAGGAGAGGAGAAAACGATGGGCATGGCTTCTGTTGAGTTGAGCACAGGTGGGGGGCCGGGGGGGTGAGTGAGTGAGGGGTTGATGCAAGAGAAAGAAGGTGTTACCTTCTAGCAGAAAGTCTTATCTTCAAGGGGTTGCGTGGGGTTATCTTCAATCAGAGGAGAGGTGTTACCTTGAATGGCAGGTATGCATTCCGCGTCTTGATGTTGTATCGAGATGCATAGTTAATGGGAATACGCCGCTCTGCCTCCTGCTAGGTGGAAGGGATAAGTTGTGGTGGCGGTGGGGGTGGTGGGGGGAGTGGGGGGAGTGGGGGGAGTGGGGGGAGTGGGGGGAGTGGGGGGAGTGGGGGGAGTGGGGGGAGTGGGAAGAACGGAGAAGAGGGGAGGGGGATGTGGAAATGGTTGCATCGAGACGCATGTTTGATAGACATAGGAGAGGGAAGACAGGCATTCAGAGAGGCAGGGGAGAAGCAGCACGCCAACCCACCCACCTGCACGTAGACAATTCCGAACACGAGCAGCAGGAAGGACGCCAGCAGCAGCGCCTCGCCAGTGAAATTGCCCTGTTCAGTGGCCTCTGTCACCGTCCGTCCAATGGACGCCGGCAGGTAGGAGACAATGTTGGTGAAGATGAGCAGAGAGGTGCCGTTGCCTAGCTTGAGGTCAGTGATCTTGTCTCCGAGCAGGATGACTGCTACAGAGCCGAGGGTGAGGCCGGACACGGCTGAGACGGCCCACGCGACTGAAGGATCGTAGGCGTACTGCTGGAGGTAGGCCACTTGGCCTATGGCCTGGAGGAACAGGGAGGAAAAAGACAGGGAGAACAGGGCATAAAACGGCAGGTAAGACATGCTGAGGTGGGTGATCTTGTCTCCCAGGAGAATCACAGCGATTGAGCCGAGGGTGAGACCCGAGACGACTGCTGAGACTGCCCAGGTGACTGAGGGATCATAGGCGTACTGCTGCAGGTAGGCCACTTGGCCTATGGCCTGTTATTGTGTGGGGGGAAGAGAGGGACGAGGTGGGTGATCTTGTTTCCCAGGAGAATGACTGCTACAGAGCTGAGGGTGAGAACAGACACGGCTGAGACTGCCCAGGCGTACTGCTGGAGGTAGGCCACCTGCCCGATAGCCTTGGGGGAGAGGAGGAGGGGGCAGGGGGAAACGAAAGGAGAGCTTGAGACCGCAGAGAGACGGCTGAGACAGCCCAGGCAACGGAGGGGTCGTAGGCGTACTGCTGCAGAGAACCAAACGCCACAGCCATGTACTTCATATACTGCTGCGCGGCTGCGCCTTCTTCCTCCCCGTCTCTCCCTCTTTCTACTGCCCACCTACCTTACAGAAGCAGAGTGTGCTTATAGCGAATCAACATACCTGCAGAGCACCGAACGCTACTGCCATATACTTCATATAATACTGCTGCGCCTTCTTCCTCCCCGCCTCCCCCTCCTTCTTCTGCTACTCACGTCACCTACCTCTATCTTGTATAACATTGGGTGTTCTTAGAGCAAGGCATCTTACCTGCAGGGCGCCGAACGCCACTGCCATATACTTCATGTACTGCTGCGCCTTCTTCCTGCCCGCCTCGCCCTCTTTCTGCTGGTCACCTACCTTACCGAGTTAGAGCGAGTTTATAGCGAATCAACATACCTGCAAAGCACCGAACGCCACAGCCATGTACTTCATATACTGCTGTTCCTTCTTCCTCCCCGCCTCCCCCTCCTTCTTCTGCAGATCCCCAATCTTGGGATACAGCGTCCCCAGCAGCTGGAAAACCAACTGTTCTGAGCGCGCTTTTTTTCAGGCGCCTCAGAATCAATTTTGGGATACAGAGTCCCCAGCAGCTGAAGCACATTTTAAGCGTGCACACAGCAAGCAGACTACCACTGAACTGAATCAACCCACCTGCAGAGCACCGAACGCCACAGCCATGTACTTCATGTACTGCTGCGCCTTCTTCCTCCCTGCCTCGCCCTCCTTCTTCTGCAGATCCCCAATCTTGGGATACAGCGTCCCCAGCAGCTGAAACACGATCTGAGCGTTGATATACGGCACGATGCCCAGCGAAAACAATCCCAGCCGTCCAATTCCGCCCCCTGAGAGGGTGTCTAGGGTGGCTAGGAATGAGCCCTCCCCCAGTTGCTCCTGGAAGGCGGAGATATCAACGCCCCACAGGGGAATGTAGATGCCCACGCGGGATAGCGCGAGCAGTCCCAGCAGCATGAGGAATTTCTTGGGTAAATCGCCCTTGAAAAAGTCGCCGATGTCGATCTTGCTGTCTTCCACTGGAGAAGGAGGAGGGGGAGGGGGGGGGGAGGGGGGGCCGGGAGAAAGGTGGGAAGGGGAGGCAGAGGAAGGAGAAAGAGGAGGGAGAAGAATCGGGTGGTTCATACACCCTTTACAGACATGCGACTACAACCTGTCAGCCACTCGCCTATTAGCTGCAATAACCTTCTCCCCCTTTCTTCCCACCACCCAAACCCTTTCCAGCCCTCTCCATACACTTGCCTACAGCCTCGCCTAAACCCCCACCCACCTGCTGCAGCAGAGCCTGACGATTTCTGCTGCTGCGTTGCCTGGGCGACTGTTGACAAACGCTTGCTGCTGCTTCTGCTGCTGCCACTGGTAAGACCCATGCTTCCTGCAAGAGGCGAAATGGACGAACTCAAAGGTCCGCTCTTTCCTGCATTGCCTCCCTGCAGCATTGTAAAATGGACGGAGAGTGGGGAGAGGGTGGGAGCGGGGGGGAGCATGAACGGGTGCAAGTGGGGTTGGAAGGAGTTTGGGGCGTTTGAGACGTCTGGGGAAGAGAGGTGATTACGTGAAAAGGTTCATAACGGGTACAAAGAGTTTTTATAAAAAAAAAATAAAAATAAAAATAAAAAGAATGCCGGATTTGATCAATTTCAGAGAAACCCACTGCACAAAGGGGTGGTTTATTCGGTGATGGGAAAGCGTTTCTGCAGGTTTTCTTGGAATGCTCAAAGAAACCCACTGATCGCAGAGACGTGTGGTGTGCGTGTGTGCGCGTGGTAAGGAGGAGCACGCGTTCTGACCTGAGCCGCTACTGGTCTCGGAAATGGGCGGAGGCGAAGGGACGGGGATCGGGCTACTAGCCTGCTGGGGAGATGCGGAAGATGGTCCTTGGCGAACGCTGCGAGGGAAGAACGGGGGGAGGGGGAGGGGGAGTTGGGGGGGATTCGGGGGTGTCGAATGGGGAGTGTGATAGGGAAGCGATACGCTCCTGAGCTGAGAGAATAGGAATAGGAGTCAGCCGCCTAGGGCGAAATAGGAACCGTTCGTAACAGAACTGGTTACATGGACCGGGGATGACGTAGCCATGAAGTGTGTAAATGAGTGTTCATCTATCCAGAATTTGGTTGCTGCTTAACAAATTATAGTCAGAATACGGATATAGGCACAAGAAGGTTATGGACGAAAGACGAACCTGCGGTTCGAGGACCACCCAGCGCGGCCGGCGATGCGAGGAGGGACACCATTGGCTTAACCCACTCGTCAGGCTCAGTCTTCCTTGGGATTTAAAATGCGAAGCGTTTATTTACCACGCGAAATTCGTACGAATGGACGCAAACTCGCAATATGCTGGAAAATCCGTACGAAAGTCCCAGAGGAGGTTTGCCAAAGGGCGACGACCTCGAAAATGGCGGACTGGCCTGCTCCTAAAGCGTAAAGCGCTTTAGCTGTTCGAGGGGATAAGGCTCGCGAAAGCTCACGAATGCACCAAGCCAGAAAAACTTCGTTTATCTCAAGTTACAAGATATCGTTGTGTCTGGAACACGTCGTTGAAGTTGCGCGAACTGGTTTCATCCTTCTCGGGGATTGCACGACGCGTGGCCCAATTGGAGAGAGTGGATGAGGGAGGATCACTGTACACTCGATAGTAGCTCGCTCAAATTCGTTTACCTGCAGTTTGTTGCACTTATGTGCAGTGAAAATGGTCAGCTCCTAGGAAGGTGGTATATTGTTTGGGATGCAATGACTGTTTAGGAAACAAGCTGCTAACATATCAACTTCAAATATAGGCTATTAGTCTCGATTCCCCATGTATTGGAATCACATGCATGGTTGCTTAGATATGCCAATTCCTACATAGAACCACAACATTCTAGTTAGAACATACTAGGGATAAAATAACACTGAATGGAAAGTTTGCTAGAATGAAACAATCCGTACACGACTGCACGATCACTAAGCCACGGAGGCGTGTCCGTTATACCATGTATCATCTGTCCCGGCAGTTGTCCTCTCCACCACCGCTCCAACCCTGCTCCTCATCTTCAGTTGTTTTACAGTTGATGGGAGACCCCCGTTTCCGATTGGCTGACGAGGTTGAAAAAACGAAAAGGGGTGCAGCGAAGGATGCGAAGTGAACTAAATCGTTTGCAGTGTTCCAAACCTACTAGATATGGAAACAGGTTCGGAGCCGAAGCTACAGTGCCAGAGAAATGTCAAGGGTTGTGGAAAGTCTCATGTACCTGAAATTTGTTTTGCAATTGGTGCTGAGGCAAAAGCGGGGGAGTGTCGCACGCCAACTTCCCTAGCCAACCAGTCCACCTCACCTACAAAACTGGGTAACTCAAGTCTCAAATGTTTTGCAATTGATAGCAGAATCTCTTACTTGAGACCCTGGTTTTAACTGCCCTGCTGCACTCCTTTGTAGCTGTTGTCACCCTGAACGAGGCTTCCCATAGGGTGGTCCTGAATTGCCACGAACACAAACCATGGCACGCCATGCTATGCCACAAACACATGACATGCCATGCCACACCAGATTATGCCATGGCCTTCACAACCACATGTCATGCTACACCATGCCATGCCACGCCATGGTTTTCGGGACCACAGCATGCCATGCCAAGCCATGGTCCAGACAACACTGTAATGCAACACAGCATGTCATGCCACACAGCATGGCACAGCACACAGCATGCCATGCTATGGCATGCATTGGAATGCATAGCATTAAAATGCACCACAGTGTGCCATGCTATGGCATGCATTCATGCCATGCTATGGCATGCATTGGAATGTATAGCCAAGAGGTTACAGCCAATTAACATATCAACCATCCACCCAAGGGGTTACAGCTCCGCTTCCCCTCACCACCTGAGGGGTTTCATATCATTCACCCAAAAGGGTTTCAGCCCTAACTACCCATCACCCCAAAATGAAGCCACCCACCCCCAACAACCCATCACCTCAAGTCAAAACCACCCATCCCCAACAACCCATCACCCCCAGTCAACACCACCCATCCCCAACAACCCACCACCTCAAGTCAACACCACCCATCCCCAACAACCCATCACCCCAAGTCAACACCACCCATCCACAACTACCGACCACCCCCAGTCAACACCACCCATCCCAACACATCCCCCTGTCACAGCCACCCACCCACACATCCCCGTCATAGCCACCCACCATTGCCCCTCACTCAAGTCACCCTGGGGTTTCAACTTTCAACCCCCTTTTCTTCTCGCTCCCTCTCTCCACTTACCCTGGCGGATTCAAGCCCCCACCCTTGCCCCCAACTCACCCACCCAAGGGGATTCAGGCCCCACTCACCTCCCAAGGGGTTTCAGGCCCCACTCACCACCCAAGGGTTTCAGGCCCATTTCTTTCTCACTCACCCACCCAGCCCATCCCACCTTCACCTGCCAGCAGTAGGAGCAGCAGACAGCCCACTTTCTTAAGGAAACAGCACCCCCAGAGGTGGTGCCTTGTGGGGCGAGGTGTGGTAGTGGAAAATTCCTTCCAGCCCAAGACTCAAATCTCACCCTCTGACGTAGCCAGAGCTGACGCGAACCAGAGCCGCCGGCCGGTCGGCTCTGACGGTGTCCCCTGCTGCCCCCTGCTGCCCTGCTACAGCCTTCAATGTACTGGGAGGGAGGGGAGAGGGAGGGAGACAAAGGGGCAAGGGAGAGCAGTGAGAATGGGGAGAAGAGCAGGCAGAAGCATGAAGGAAGAGAAGGGGCAATAAACGGAAGTAAGCATAAGGAGAAGACCAAGCAGCAGCATGAGTGCATGAGGGAAAAGAGGCTCACCTGGGTTCAGACGACCCATCCAGATACTCTCCCATCCCATCCCAGCCGAGTGGAGTGCTGCCCCCCTCCCCTCCCACCACTGCCACCTGCACGGCCACAAGGGGAGGGGTGTGGGGGAGTGGCGGTGTTGATCCCGACGCCCCTCCCCTCCACCTGCAAGGAGGAAACTGAAGACAAGTGGGTAAGTGGCTAAGGGTAGAATTGAGAGAGAGAGTGCATGGGTGGGGTGGGAAGGCAGGTGAGGGCAAAAAAAGGAGACCACTGGTGCAGCCTCGGCTACAAGCCACAGACCCAAGGGAGGTACTTACCTAGGGAGGCTTAACCTGTGAATACCTGCAGTACCTGGGGGGACTTACCCAAGAAAAGGGGTTTGTGGCTTGAAGCGTTGGCCCAAGCAGAGGGTTGCGTTGAATGGAGCAGCAACAGGAGAGGTAGCAAGGATCAATGTGAAACGCGAATGAAAGGCAGACAGGTGCGTTGGGAGAGGAGAGGCAGGGCGGGGTACTTAGCTTAGCTGTGGGTGGGTTGGGTGGAGAGCAGCTGCTGCCTGTGCACTCCATGTCCCCCACCACTGACCCTCTTGTGTGAGCGACCTGCTGGGACGAGAAAGGGGGCAGATCAAGACAGAGAGAGAAAGGGATGGGTGGGGGAGCAAACGGGGAAGTGAAGGGGCGCAGAGGAGTGGGGAGAGCAGTGAGGAAAGAATCCAAGACAAGTGAAGTGAAGAGTGCAGCAAGCGCAAGCATGATGCGTGCATGAATGGACTGCTGCTATGGCACACCCAAGAGACCTCGTACCAGCTGAACCAAACTAAAACGAACACCTGAGGCTGTACCAAGAAAATATATACCTGCTAGCTACCTTGGGGGAGGGAGGTCTAATGGGTGTGACAAAGAGCAGTGAAAAGGGGAGTGTAATGCATGGTGCAAGCATGACAAGCAAAGCAATGTAGTGCGAGGGTTGAGAGAAGAGAGGAAGGGCGGATTACTTAGCTGTGGTTGGGTTGGGTGTAGAGCAGCTGCTGCCTGTGAACTCCAAGTCCCCCGCCACTGCCACTCCCATGTGAGCGACCTGCTGGGGGGACCAGAAGGGGGAAGATCAAGAAACAGAGAGAAAGGGAGGAGGAGGGGGGGGGAGAGGAAACGGGGAAGTGAAGGGGGCGCAGAGGAGTGGGGAGAGCAGTGAGGAAAGAAGCCAAGACAAGTCAAAACGAAGAGTGCAGCAAGCGAATGCATGATGCGTGCAGAAATGGACTGCTGCAGTGGCACACCCAAGAGACCTCGTACCAGCTGAACCAAACTAAAACAAATACCTGAGGCTGTACCAAGAAAAAATATGCCTACTACCTTGGGGGAGGGAGGTCTAATGGGTGTGACAAAGAGCAGTGAAAAAGTGAGTGCAATGCATGGTGCAAGCATGACAAGCAAAGCAACACAGTGCGAGGGTTGAGAGAAGAGAGGAAAAGGGGTACTTAGCTGTGGGTGAGTTGGGTAGAGAGCAGCTGCTGCCTGTACACTTCATGTTTCCCACCACAGCCTCTCCCGTGTGAGCGACCTCCTGGGATGAGAAGTTGCAGGCCTGGAAAGGGAGAGAAGGGGCCGAGGGGAAGGAGAGGAGAGGACGGGGTGTGAAGGGGAGGGGAAGCAGCAGAATGAAATGAGAGTGAAGAGTGTAGCAAGTGCAAATGATGCTGCGTGAATAGTAGACTGCTGCAGTGGCACACTTTAGAGACCTCGTACCAGCTGAACCACGCTCAATGAAATACCAGAGGCTATACCAAATTTTTGAACCTGCTACCTCGGGGGAGGAGGTCTCTTGAGTGTGACAGAGGGCAGTGCATGGTGCAAGCAAGGCAGAAAAGCAGCACGACTGCGAGGATTGGGAGTAGAGAGGTAGGACGACTACTTAGCTGTGGGTAGGTTGGTTGGAGAACAGCTGCTGCCGGTGCACTCCTTGTCCCCCGCCACCGCCTTTCCCGTGTGAGAGACCTTCTAGGATGAGAAGTTGCAAATCTGGAGAGAGAGAAGGACCGAGGGGGGGGAGAGGAGAGGACACGCTGTGAAGGGGGAGCAGCAGAATGAAATGAGAGTGAAGAGTGTAGCAAATGCAAGTGATGCGTGCATGAATAGAACACTGCTGCAGTGGCACACCTCAGAGAGACAGCTGAACCACACTCAATGAAATACCTGAGGCTATACCAAATTTTTGAACCTGCTACCTTGGGGGAGGGAGGTCTCTTGAGTGTGACAACGTGCAAACACTTAGCTGTGACACAACATGAAAGGCATGGACTTATGCTGTGAAACGACATGCAACGACATGAAAGGCATGGACTGGAATGGGCCGTGCATGCACTTATCTCTTGAAGTCGTGCTGCTGGGCGGTGCAGTGAGCGAGACGGGAAGCGTGGCTGCCAGGTGTCGCGAGCTCAG